TATGACACTGGGCTACAGTACCGGTGGGGACGGGTCTGTCGCTGTATAACACTGGGCTACAGTACCGGTTGGGACGGATCTGTCGCTGTGTAACACTGGGGTACAGTACCGGTGGGGACGGGTCTGTCGCTGTATAACACTGGGGATACAGTCGTGGCTGTATTGCAGTGAGAGCTGGTCCTTTCCGCACTGCATTTCCACTGCATTTGACAATCCCTAGGACTCTCGGCACTCCCGCAGGTCAGGAGAAGCGACTCTCCCTGACCCAGGATAGTGATCAGGTACAGGATCCCTCCCTAACTCAGGGCTCACTGGGCCAGTGATTGGGAACAGGAACCCTCCCTAACCCAGGGCTCACTGTGACAGTGATCGGGAACAGGAACCCTCCCTAAACCAGGGCTCACTGGGACTGTGATCGCGAACAGGAACCCTCCCTAACCCAGGGCTCACTGGGGACAGTGATCAGGAGCAGGAATCCTCCCTAACCCAGGGCTCACTGGGGACAGTGATCAGGAGCAGGAATCCTCCCTATCCCAGGGCTCACTGGGACAGTGATCGGGAACAGGGATCCTCCCTATCCCAGGGCTCACTGGGACAGTGACGGGAACAGGAATCCTCCCTAACCCAGGGCTCACTGGGACAGTGATCGGGTACGGGATCCCTGCCTAACCCAGGGCTCACTGGGACAGTGATCGGGTACAGGATCCCTCCCTAACCCAGGGCTCACTGGGACAGTGATTGGGTACAGGATCCCTCCCTAACCCAGGGCTCACTGGGACAGTGATCGGGAATGGGAACCCTCCCCTAACCCTGGGCTCACTGGGACAGTGATCACGAGCAGGGTTTCACTGGAAAGGCTAAGAAGCTACATTTACATAGCACCTTTCACACTGGAGTCTGAGAGTGCTTTGGCAACTATTATTCAGATTATTGCCCCTCTTCCGATGCAGGAAAGTCAGCAATCAGTTTGTTGCACAGCAAGCTCCCACAGACGTCCGTGTGAGAATGGCCAGACAATCTGAATTAGTTCGAGTTTCAGTGATATCTAGGAGCACCAGTCGGCCACTAAGTCTCCTTCATTGTTCAGCGACATTAAGGCTGACCCCATTATCCTCACACTCACTTTCCTGCCTTTCCCACATAACATTCATTTTGTGTGACATGGACGGCGCTGACTGGGCCCAGCGTTTCTTGCCCCATCCCCAGCTGCCCCCCTTGAGAAGGTGGGGGTGAGCTGTAGTCCACGGACTGTAGATTGAACCCCAATCTCCCTGAGGGAGGGAATTCCAGGATTTTAACCCGGCGACCCTGAAGGAATGGCGATATATTTCCAAGTCAGGGTGGTGAGTGGCTCGGGAAGGAACATGAAGGTGGTGTTTTCCCATATAGGTTAAAAACATCATCAAGTCCTTAACAACTCTGCCTCTACAGCCCTCTGTGGTATTGAGCACCATTTGAGAGAAGACATTCCTCCCAATTTCTATTTTAAATGTACAGCCCCTGACTCAAAGATTACACGCTCAGGCCCTGGACTCCTTCTAAGCTCCAACAAGTATAGGCTCAATCTGCCCTCGTAAGACAGTCCCTCCACTCCTGCGATTAACCGAGTGAACTATTTTCAATGATACCACCACTTTCCTTGGGCAACACATTTTGCAGAAATCCAGCTGTGGTCTGCACAGTGCCCTGTATAAGTTTAGCAAAAACTTCCCTATTTTTATACTCCCAATTCCTTTCGAAATGAAGGCCAACATTCCATTTGCCTTCCCTATGACCCGCTGAACTCAGATGTGAGCTTTAGACTTGTGGGCATGGAGGGTGGAGGGTGGAGGGGGGAGGGTGGGTGGTGGGGAGGGGTGAACCCGCCTGCTATTTGATTTGGTCAGGATATTCCTGGAACTTAGAGCTGTCTTCACGACTTCCCATGCCCCCCCGCCAGTCCGATTCCATCCAGCCGCAGCCCGTTGCAAACAGAGTATATGACAAGGACAGGTGCAGTGGCTGGGTTGGCCGTGGAACCAGGTCTCGCTGGGAAATGACAGAGCGACAGGCAGCTGTGGCCTGGCCGAGCATATGCCAAAGGTCAACGACTGAACTGGCCTGGCACGGTGCCCCTTGGCAGAGGGGCAGGCGGTGAAACAGCCTGGGCTTTCCATGGCGCCCTCGTGACAACTGTGCCTGTCGGAGAGTCAGCGCTGAGGGAGTGCCGCACTGTCGGAGGGTCAGCGCTGAGGGCGTGCTGCACTGTCGGAGGGTCAGCGCTTTGCGCCAATCAGTTGCTGCATTTCGTATGAGCGTGACTGCACCTTCAGCAGATCACCTCATTGGCTGCCAGTTACCTTGGGACTTGCTGAGAAGCTGAAAGGTGCTAGTAAAATGCAATGTTTGTTTTTTAAATCAACCAAGTGCTCATGGAGGTTAATGGGAGGCTTTCCCTTTGTAGCCTGTGGATTAGTTGCTGCCCATTCCTATCAGTTTGTAACGTACAACACCGTGCCTATCAGAGGACGGAGCGGTGAATAAGCTGAGCTACTGGAGGAATTTATGGTTCGCAAAGTACTGGCCTGTAGGATGTGGTGAACAGACAGCTACACAACAATAAGAAATTCCATTCTTCTGGCATCTTTCACACAGCAAAACCTCCCTCTCCACATACCCAGACAAACACGCAGCATACCCACCTGCACTTCAGAGGAACGTTTCACACAAGCGCTCACCCTGATGTTAGGGATGGTGAGGAGCGAGTGAGGCCAAATGTTCAGGAAGGGCCCAGGCACTGAAGCTGGAGTGATGCGAATTGGTCTAGGCTCTGGTTACAGAGATGGGGAGGGGTGTAGGGGGTGACAGAGATAGGGAAGGGTGTAGGGGCTGGAGGAGGTGACAGAGATGGGGAGGGGGTGTAAGGGCTGGAGGGGGTGACAGAGATGGGCATGGGTGTAGACCCAGAGTGCGAGAGTGCACTCAGAGGCAACGTCGAAACAGACAGTGGAGGGGTGGTTGTGTGGTTTGGTGGAAGGTGGCTGGTCTTGCTGATGCTGAGAGGGCTCTCTCTGTTTTCCCTGTGAGCTCTCGGTGGGAAACAATGTGAGCCAGTGCTGACTGTTTTTGATAAACTGACTGTTAGAGCAGGCACCTTCTAATCTACCCTCTCTCTGATGTCTCTGGCAGATTATTCAGTATCAGACTGTTCGATATGACATTCTACCTCTCTCTCCAATCTCAAGAAACCGACTCAGTGAGTATTTGGTCAGCAGCTGTACCTGCCTGCATTCTACTGTTTGCATTTGCCCCTCATAAAGCCCTCCCCTCTCCCTCCACCTCCCCCCCCCCTCTTTCCCCCCCCCCCCCCCGTCTCTGTGATTTCCCCCCTCCCCCTCCCCCCGAGTTGCCCCTGTGACCCGAGCTGACCGTTCCGCTCCCAGTCACACTGTTGTGTTGTTGCTGCAGGTCAGGTGAAGGGGAAGGTGCTGGTTCTCGATCTGGACGAGACGTTAATCCACTCACACCACGACGGGGTCTTACGGCCGACAGTGCGGCCGGGAACTCCTCCCGACTTCATACTGAAGGTGAACAGTGTGCTGGCGTGTCCCGTGAGGGCCCGGCCTGATGGGGGGGAGACCGAGCCCGTGGGGGTGGTGGGGGGGGGCAGTTGGCAGCAGGGAGAGTAAGAGTTAGGGTTGGAGCTGGGGAGCAGTGGGTAATGTAGCAGGTTTGGGGTGTGTCGGTCTGTGCTGCTTCTCAGCATCTCTCTTACTAATGGCCTCTCGGACTCTCTCCAGGTTGTAATTGATAAACATCCTGTTCGGTTCTTCGTTCATAAACGACCCCACGTCGACTTCTTCCTGGATGTGGTGAGTGCACTGTACTCTCCCTAGGTCTCTCCCTCCCTGTTATGTCTGTCTCCTTACCCATCTTGCTCCCTCTCTCTCTCTCCGCTCCCCCCCCCCCCACCTTTCTCTGTCTCTGTCTCTCTCCCCCTACCCTGTCTTTGTCTTTCTCCCTCCTTCTCTCTCTCTCTCTCCCCCCCTCTCTGTCTTCGCCCCCCCTCCTCTGTCTCTCTCTTTCTCCCTCTCCCCTCCCCCCACCCTGTTTCTGTCTCTCTCTCTCTTTCTGTGCCTCTGTCTCTGTCTATCTCTTCCCCGTCCCCCATGACTGTCTCTACCCCACCCTCTCCCTCGGAATTGGTGTTTTTCTCTCTCTCACTGACACATTGCTCCTCCTGCTGTGTTGCCAGGTCAGTCAGTGGTATGAGTTGGTGGTTTTCACTGCCAGTATGGAGATCTATGGCTCTGCTGTGGCCGACAAATTGGACAATAACAGACAAATATTGAAAAGAAGATATTACAGACAGGTAACAGGAAGCTGCGTCTTCTCTCCTGAATCCGCGGAGCTGTATCCCAGGAAGTGACTTGGGGCTGGGAGTGCTTGTGTTCTGTGTCTCACAGACTTGGGGAAGAGGATTGGCCTGTTTCTTTGTGTGATATCGACAGTGTGTCAGGGAGGGTGAGGCAGAAAATGGGGATTTCAGCTCCTGCCCTTGACTACGGGCCTTCTGCTGTTCCAGGTGAGCAGCATGTTCCCAAACTGATGTGTCAGAGTGAAATAATTCAGAGCAAGAGGAGACCATTTGGCCCATTGAGTCTGTTCTGCCATTCAACACCATCCCGATCCCATTTGGGGATTCAGCTCCACTTTCTCGCCTCCTCCTCATATCCTTTGTATCCCCAAGAGACCAGAAATCCGTCTCAGCCTAGAATGTATCCAACCACAGAATGACCACAGCTTTGGGAATTTGAAAGGTTCCCCAGCCTCTGGTTGAAGGCATTTCTCCTTGTCTGAGACCAAAATGATCAACGTTTTATCCTGACGCCGTGCCCCGTGTGTTTCAGGCTTTCCCCCCACCCTCCCCAGCCCAGAGCAAATCACCTTCTCAGTGCCAAGTCTCTCGAATATTTCAACAACAGTAACTCTCATTTTTTCCAAACGTCAGAGAATAATGGCCCCTCTTGTTCGTAGGCCGTTCCTCCTACCTCCCACCCATCACAGGGACCGTTTCATAAACAAATAATCGCTTGGCTGGGCATTGCCAAAAATATGAATGAGGCATTCTGTCTTCTCTCCTCAGGGCAGCTGCAAGAATCCCAAATCTTAGAAATAGGAGCAGGAGGAGGCCACTCAGCCCCTCGACCCTGCTCCACCATTCAGTAGGAACATGGCTGATCCGGCACTCCTCACACCCACTTTCCAACCCCTTTCCACATCATCCTTGACTGGTCTGGAATTTATCGATCTCAGCCTTAAATATGCACAAGGACCCTGTCCCCACAGCTCCTGTGGCAAAGACTCACAACCCTCAGAGAGAAGAAATTCCTCCTCATCCCAGTTTGAAATTGATGCCCCTTTATCCTGAGACTGTGCCCTTTGGAGCTAGATTCTCCCATGAGAGAGAGACATCCTCTCAGCACTGACCCTGCCAAGCCCCTTGAGAATCCGATAGTTTCAATGAGATCGCCTCTCGTTCTTCGAAACTCAGTGAGTAAAGTCTGAACCTGATTAATCTTTGCTCATAAAACAAAGTTTCCACACCAGGAATCATCCTAGTGAACCTTCTCTGAACTGTCTAATCTAATCCCCAGCTTCATTACCACGGAGCCAATGTTCACTTTGATCTCTCTCCTCCTTCTAATATATTTAAAGAAATTCTTAGAACATAGAACATCGAACAGTACAGCACAGTACAGGCCCTTCGGCCCACTATGTTGTGCTGAACGTTTACCCTAATGCTAAGGTCTATCTAACCTCCACCCCTACCTTATACTATCATCCATATGCCTATCTAATAGCCGCTTAAATGCCCCTAATGAGGCCGACTCCACTACCCTCTCCGGCAATGCATTCCACACCCCTACCGCTCTCTGAGTAAAGAACCTACCTCTGACCTCTCCCCTATATCTACCTCCACTCACTTTAAAACTATGCCCCCTTGTAATAGCTACCTCCACCCTAGGAAAAAAATCTCTGGCTGTCCACTCTATCTATACCTCTGATCATTTTGTACACCTCTATCAAGTCATTAACACCTCTTATTGTTAGTTTCTGTATTCCTCGCTTGTTTGCCCCCTTTGTTTTCTCTGCCATACAGGACAGAGACAGACCCTTCAGTCCAACCAGTCCATGCCGACCATTATCCCAAACTAAACTAATCCCACCTGCCTGCACTTGGCCTATATCCCTTTCTTATTCACGTACTTATCCAAATGTCTTTTGAATGCTGTATCTGTACCTGTATTCACTGGCAGTTTATTCCACACACGAGCCACTCTCTGTGTGAAAAAAATTTGCTCCTCCTGTATTTTTAAAATCTCTCTCCTCTCACCTTAAAAAAATATGCCCCATAGTCATTAAATCCTCCACCCTAGGGAAAGGACACCTGCCATTCACCTTATCTACACTCCTCATGGTTTTATTATTTTATTTTCAGTCTTTATTATCTTTTTAGTCCTCCTTTGCTGGATTCTCAATCTATCCCAGTCATTGGGACTATCACTGAATTTCGCCTCCCGATATGCTTTTTCTTTCCAGTTAATACTCTTCCTAACTTCCTTGGTAGATAGATTTATCCCTTTCTTGGAATCTTCCCTCCTTACTGGGATGTATTTTTGCTGAGAGTCATCAAATATCTCCTTCGATGTCTGTCATTGCTGCTCATCTATCCACCCAGTCACTTCAGCTAACTCTATCCTCATTCCCTTCATTTAAATTGAACACAGCTGTTTCTGATCCAAGTTTCTCACTCTCAAACCGAATATTAAAGTCTATGATGTTATGATCACTATTTCCTAGGCGATCCTTTTACTCTGAGATCATTTATTGCACCCTCCACATTTCAAAGGGACCAGCAGTTTGAACTGCAGGAAAAAGCCATGTTTTGTTGGTTAAGTGTGCTTTGAGTTCAATGAGCAAACAATTTAAGGCCCACACTGCAGCTCACAAAAGCTTGCAGAAAGTTTTATACAAACTCACCTGCAGGGATCTGACCTCTGTAGGAAAAAGGAATGTGTTTTGATTTAGTGTAGGTGTTTGAATTCACAAAAGCCCAGACAACAATAAGTCCCTGGTACATTGTCCATGCCCTTGCCTCGAACAATTAGCACAAGAACCAGCATTTTTTCCTGTCATGTAAATAGTTGTTCCCTTTGAGTGTTAGCATTGATCACGAGGGGAGGTGATGGCCTAGTAGTATTATCATTGGACTGTTAATCCAGAGACCCAGATAACGTTCTGGGGACCCGGGTTCGAATCCTGCCACGGCAGATGATGGAATTTGAATTCAATAAATATCTGGAATTAAGAATCTAATGATGACCGTGAATCTATTGTCG